GTGGCGGCCGGGGGATCCCGACCGACTGCCCGCTGCGGAGAGCACACAGACACGGGCGGGGAGGGTTAGAGAAACCGGGGTGCAGACATGTTAAACACTCAACACTCACGGAAAATGAACCTTTCTGATATCACAAAAATGATCTTTTACTTTTCTATTCTAATATAGTATTTTATAAGATCTATTTCATGAAATATAGATTTTTCTGGACTTTTTGCAAAATGTGGGTTTTTTTTTTAATACTTCATATAGTTGGCCAGATGTTTTTGTTAAATGTACTTGATAATATAAGAGGACGCCAAGTATTGCTGTGAGTTAATGTTAAATAAAGCAAAAAATAGACTACAGTAACTCCAATTTTTGAAAAACCATGTCAATTTTGCAATAATAAGAAAAAGAACTAAAAAGCTACAGTAATATATGAACTTAATGTCAACTTTTACAACTCCAACGGGTACCATATATTAGGCACCATATGTAATGTGAATAAAAAGAAACAGTCTTGAGAGGGCCTCTTCCTTTAATATCTTAGGGTACCTGGCTTAACTATAAGATTTGTACTTTCCATCATAAACTACTTGTGAAAACAGTTCCTGTATGTGCTTTTGCTCTGACTGCCTTATGATGGGACTTTGAGGAAAGAGACAGACGCTGGAGTTAAGAAGACAGACAACAGTTGAAGAACAGTAAACTCACATGCCTGACAGACTTAAGTACATGTAGACAGTAGAAAACACATGACGTAATGCACAATGCATGCACACATGCAACCACACTGAACACTACCAGGCCCATGCAAACATGCTAAACACTTCAGTAACAGGACAGAAAAGAATTATTAGAGAATCTACATTGTACAGTCTGCTTGGATATACCATTTAGCCTGGATGCCATCCTGGAGTTTACAGTGTCTCCTATACTTGCTCCCTTTGTATGAGAGCCCCAGGTAAACTACAGTGTAAATAGGATGGCACCCAGGCTACACAATATCAAGTAAACTGCACAGCACATCTAAAAAAGACAGGAATCCTCCAGGTGCCATCACAAGATTTGTAGACAAGTAAAGACCAGGTGATTTTGATTTAAATCATTTTTTTTAGAAAGTCACAGTTATACTGAGCAATCTAACATTGGCTGTACAGTCCAAACTGGATGGGTATGATCTGAACTGATTTATGTTTACTAATAGGTAGATCAGATGGTTTTGGTTAAAATTTCTTTATAACTTTTTTTCACCTACAAATGTACAATACACCATTGGCCTTGCAGAGCAATCTGGATGGATACAATCTGGCACCTGGGAGACCCTTTGGCTAATCTTACATCTAAGCTGTTGGGAGAGGTTCTACTTAAAGAGTTCAACAGAGACTACTGACAGTACTCCTAGATGGTTAGGAGAAGAGGAAAGTGGAGGAACAGAACCTAAGAAAATCACAATCATGAAATGGATAGTTTGTACCCACAAGCCACATTGTTTCCATCTCTTATAACAAGGTTACATTTATTTCCAACTCAAAATATAATTTTCAAAAATTTCTTTTGCAGTTTAGCACTATTGGCACAGATGGCTTCTGGGTACAAGGCTGTTGCCATGACAACAGAACAAAAACAGAATGTGTGAAGAGGAGTACCAAGGTCAGAGGTCGAGGAGATGTCAATGTCAACTATCTTCAGCTTGGGGACAAGAGCTGTCGGGAAATAGCAAGTCGTAAATCAACAACAAATAAACAATAAACAAACAAACAATACAGATGTGGAAGAAAAGGTCTGCAAAAATATGAAAACGCAGCAGTAGAAAAACTAATTTTCATGACAAATAAGTGTTTAAAAAAACATGACATCTGAAATATAACCCGAAAAAAAGAAAAAAGAATATAAAAAAATGCACTTATGTTGATATTTTGTTGTGTCAGCTTTGATTTAGATCAAACGTAAGAAGTTTCCTTTATAAAAGTCACTGATGTATGACTGGAATTATGTAAACTATATGCCAAAGTCAAAAACATTTCTTATTAACCTGCAGTTTCATAACTGTCTGATAGGTGTTGCTGTGAATCAATTACAGTACTTATAAATAAGTAAAATAACGATTGGCAAAAATTATGTTACAGAATGGTTTACAATTTAGGCACTTTCTCGAGTCATGAACTGTTTCGTGTGCTAGTTTGCATTCAATTATGATAACATCTAACCAGCAAAAATATTAATGCTTTAATACACCACACCACACCATGCAAGGCTTTACAACAGTTACTGGTAACAGAGTATTCTTGGCTTTTCTAGAAAGAAAACTTGGTAGAATTTGATTAGTGATGCTTATAATATATTATGCTCCAGTCTGAATAAAACATAGAGAGATCATATTGATATAAAAAACGATTTTTGGCATGCAACCTGTGTAGCTTGATTGTTCTTCATTGATGTAAACATAATCAAACATAAAGAATTAAAAGGTTACAACAATTTTGCGGCAGGAAATAAAATCAATGAAAATAGGAATTTAGAAGTTTCAATCAAAATTTGTCTGATTTTTTGGAAATTTCATGCAGTCACCTTCACATTTATGGACACTGCCAAGCAACACACCATGCAACTCACCTTGCCCACCCCTATGTAAAAGTGGTTGTGTCTAAATGATCTACTATGTGTATGGCACCTTTAACCAGTCCAACTGGGAACGAGGGGTGGTCAGGGTGTGTATTGTTTCAAGGGCTTGTACAATATATTATAACAACACAAATATCTCAGCACATATATCTGCTCATTTTCACATCAAACAATGGCTTTCACTTCAGTTGCACATTAACTTCCTCAAATTCATAAGTTCCTTCAGTCAAATTTTTGTGATTTCTGTACTAGTACAAGCCCTTATTAGGAGTGTAAGGTACAGTAGGTGCTACACACTACTGACTGTGCGTGACAGCAGCAAAACGTGCGTGACGGCAACAAAACGTGCACGAGAGCAACACAGGGACAGAGCGAGAGAGCGTAACCCTTACCCGCGGCAGAGCAGGAGCGTGACCGGCCTGAAGGATGATATCGACACCCGTGGTTAGTTCAACATCGTACAACACCAACCAACCAATCACCACGCAGAGTAGCATTGGTGACAACCAATCACCACGCAGTGCAGCATTGGTGAGAACCAATCAGAGGAGTGCATGTGTGAGAGGTGTTCATTATTTTCAAATTATTTCTCTCTCACGGACAGACAGGAATGAGTGTTAGTTGCACAGTTCACAGCAGCAAACAAGTACATGTATAAAACACACATGGATATAAACAAACAAACAGACAGACAGACAGACAAACAGACTTACAAAATGTACGAATTGTCAGTGATAGTGAAATTCTTTAACTTTCAAAATTTTCACATTATTACTTCATTGTCAGTCATAATCTCATATAGCAGATAACTGTTTTTTCTCTCAATAAAAAAACATTTTTTTGTGTTGCTTATTCTTTAAGTTTACTTTTCTTGTGACTAACTTTAGGCTAGCAGGCAGTTTTTGGGAATTGCGTAAATGCATTAAAACAGGATAATACATTTATTAAAAAGAAAAAAAAGGAACATAAAAGAAACAAAAGTCATAAACACAACAGTTTCAGAAATTGCAAGAAATGTGCAGAACTGAAAAATAAACAGACATAGAAAGAAACTGACATCATTCACACAAAAGAAAACTCTGAAATAAATATAACATAAGAGAAAACTAAATCTGAAGAATCCTGAGCTTTCAAACAACTAGACAATGATGATATTTCAGTTGACGTGTAACACATACATAAAAGAAAACAGAGAAGAAAGATGATGTTATTTGATGCTACAGACATTGATTAGGATGGTAGACGAATAACAAACAAAGGGATGTATTGGTGATGTTCATGTACATGTACATGTAGGTGGTGTTGGAGCTTTGAAAACAAATTGAATTGTACATAAAGCATGATGAAGACAGACATACATACACATACATATGGGCATGGTATACTATTTTTCTGCCTAGGTGCAAGTGACACTCAAAACTTTTACCTGCACCACCCTTTTTTGATAAACAATGTTTTTAAGGTGTTTCTTTCTTATGTTCAAGAGGAGATTTGCCAAACATCCAAGTATTAAAAAAAAATGAGATGAGTGAGATGAGATGAGGGACAACAAAAAATGATGACATCATCATGTATGTTGGACGACAAAAAATGATGACATCATCACGTAAGGTGTAGTGTCAACATGATGAAAACAGTGTGACACAAAAATGTACGAAAAAAGGAGATTCTCTTGTGGTGTACAGAGATCTTGGTCTTCAGTGTCTGCAAAGTTACTTACTCCAGACTGTGAGATGTCCTAAAGAAAAGTATGATCCATACACACAAAACAGAAACAGACAAAAGTTTGGCTCATACACAAACAAGGGAATAAAATGGATAGAAGTTACAAAAAGGGTGGAAGATGGGTCCTTGGGAATAGATCTAGACCTCACATTTAGTATCTTGGCAACAAATAATACAATATCACTCAATAAAAATAATCTGCTAGATCAATGTATACAGGCAAAATAATGAGACTGAGATATCATTACTATGGCCTGACATGCCACTACTACATTGTTACTTTTGAAGTCAAACTAAAAGGCTTTCTTCTAGAATCCAACAGAAATCTACAAAAGACTCCTTAATTATTTCACTTCTATTTTCAGGCTCATAAATAAAGAAGATAGCAGAAGTTTTTCAGGACTCACGTTGAGACTGCGACACGCGTGTTTGTCTGCCAGCCTGTCGCCCTCTCGCCTCCGCAGCTTTCTCTGCCGCTGCACCCGGGGACGTCCGCGGGGCTTTCCAGTTCCGACCTGAACCAACCAACCAGAACAGCCGTTACAATCTTTCCAACCAATCAAAGCAAGCCATACAGCATTCCTATAGGATGCATGGACTAGCTACAATCTACTGCCACCTTTTATTCTGCCTACAAACAAAACCACTACTTTTAGAACATGCCATTTTGTTTTATTGTCTTTTGTACCCAAATTAAAGGAACGTTTTGTGGGTTCTGTACTACCGGTATCATTTATTCTAAACTTTAACCACCAAGTTTTATCGCAAGGCAGGTCATGTACCATGCAAATGAACTATGACTACATGCAAATGCAAGCAAGCAATTACAGTGCATGACGGCAGCAACATGTAATGGTACAGCAAACAAGTGCAAACCATGTGTATATGCCAAATTTGCATTACTTTGTTAAAATTTATATTTTGAAAGCAGTTCAATGAGCTATTTGCTAAAGAAGCTATATCAACTGTTTTTTTAAATAAAGTGATCGCATATAAAGGCATGGTTGGCACTTGCATATACATGTATACCATACAAATGTAGCAAGCAACAGTTAGCATGCAGACTTAATGGTGCACAATTACACATAAAGAGGGATACAAACGTGCACTAAAGATACTGAAGAAATATTGTGTGTTCCTTACTGCAAAGTGCATTCTGTCTTGTGTACGCTGCTGAACACTTCAGCCTAATTTGTCCTACAATTTTTTGTCATAGTAAAGCTATGACATGATGCCAGAACTGATAATTGAAAAGGACCAAAGGAGACCGAATCTGTCAAAAAGCATGCGGAATTTCACATAACATCAATAACTGTCCAAAGAATCTCCTCGATTGCTATTATAAACCTTTTGTACAAGTGTAACTGGGCCTTAGGAACACACATAGATGGAAGACTTCAGTATCTCTAGTTCGTTATGTGCCCCAGAAGTGGGTGCAAAAAAGTATGACGACCAAAAACCACCTCTATGCCTCCGATAGACAACTATGGAGCAAATCAAGAGGAAATAAAGGCAGATTAGATGCTGAAATGGAGCTTCATGAAGCTGTGATCACTCTACAGAGCACTTTCACATGACATCATAGCTGTGTCTGCCGCCATGTTGGTGTCCTTATTTGCATTTCAGCGTATCATCACATTTTTGGACATCTAAACATATTCTGACCTTCAGAAACCTCTATTAAAACATCTGCAACTCAAAGAAGAGATTGATCCTGATTGAAGAACACTTAAAAACTTGCCAAAAAAACACAATTATGGTGTGTACACTGTAACTATGATTGTATTGAAATGCAAATGAAGGACACCAGTATGGCAGTCAGAGCACCTTCATTGACATGGAAAGTGAGTGAAATGCTCTAAAGTCACTGTAGATAAGGAGCTTCAAGACAACAGTGCATGTACATGGGTAACCTTGAGGCCCTACTTGACTACTGTAGCATTAGCTACAATGGGGTGTTGGCATATGCTGGGGTTAGGAACTGTTATAGTTATACCGCTGGAAAATAATTTAGTCATGTAAACTTTTGCTTTGGAGATTTCCAGATTTTGCTGTAGTGAAAAACCAGCATATTCCACAAATTCCCAGCCAACACTAATTTTTACAGGTAGTTAAGTACTTTCTTTGTCTCTTCTAAGAATTGGCACTAAGCACCTATCAGTAAGTCCTAAGTTCTACCAAACCACACCAGTGCGAAACCAAACCGATTAACCCCAAGAAAGGTCCCTCTCTACACCACTCTACCAACCTGACCACCCCCATATGTGCAGTGGTAAGGTCTACAGTCTGACAAACCTGGTTGCTTTTTCTTTGCACTTTGACTCCCACATTCTCCCGCTGGGGAGGGGCAGGTACATGAAATGAGAAACAGTTATTCTCACTTGTGACAGCCAATAAGAAAAAAAATCCCTGTGGGAATAATAGAATACTCCAGATGCCTGCAGAGCAGCTGTTGTAGAGCCTGAGTTTGGACTAGACCATGTGAAAAATAGGGATGGGCAGGATGGCAGCTTTCCCATGACGTTGGAACAACAGGATAATACTTGAACAGTGTATGGAACCCACTAACACCCCTCCAGAGTGGAATGGTCTATGATTACCTCAGTGTTATAAAGGTTAGAAACCCACAGCAAATACACTCAGAGGAAGGAACCATTCCACAATGTGAAAGGGGTGTTTTTGAGTGGAGGAAAAACATGTTAACAGTACACATCACAGCACACAACACAACGCAACGCAACACTGCAGACATGTAGCAAATGGTAGGTCCTTACCCCTACTGTAGCCATAGTCCAAATCTGAGCATTGCGATTCTTTAGGAGAAATGGGAATGGGGAACAATGAGTTAGAGTTAGCATTTTACACAGATGTACGGTAATTTGACATGCTAATATAACATGCAATGGATGGACAAACAGTTAAACATAATGAATGATTCAGTAACAGTAATGTTACACACTATGATTGGTCAATAGTTATACATTCACAAATTATGTTAATTTCACAATATACATGCAACATTCAACACTTCACTCAATAGTTAACAAACAAGTATCAATCCACATTATTAGAATGTTAAAAGATTTTATGATTTTCCATTAAGTTTTGTGTATAAATGTTCAAAGATGGCACTGAGTGTTAATACAAGTTTATATATAGCTGAAGTGTGGCAAATGGATACTGCCTGGACAATTTGATACTGTCTTTGCACCTATAAAATATCTGCTTGGAGACTTAAGTTCAAACCTGTATCAAAGTGACTTCTATTAACACAGATCAAGCTAACAAATAAATCCAACTTCTGTCACTGCAAACTCTGAAGAAAAAAAAGGTTAGTGTTTGTTACACATGAGCACACAGCCAGCTTACCGGTCTCTGAGCCGGAGGAACAGCCTGCACACAAGCCAAGCAGCGAGAAACACAAACACACAGCAGCATTAGGTACATCCACACCATGGCTTACAACTAAAGCTTGGCCTTAGTTCTGTCAATAGCCTCTTTGGCAAGGTACTTAGTAAGTTATTTAAAAGTACAGTCAAACCCATGCAAGTGACCAGATCAACATGACTACGCGACCATTTTTTGGTGGACCCCTTGATAATTTTTCTCATATGACACAAACATGAAGAATCCTGTCTTTATAGTGACCACTTGTTCATATAGACCAGATTTTATCAGCCCCCCCCCCCGAATGGCCTACTTGCACAGCTTTGACTGTGAAGCTCTATACATAACCAGCCAATTTTTGTGCCAACATTTGGCTACTTTTTAGGTGCCTTCATTAGGATGCAATAAACTCTGTTACAACTTGCCACAAGTTACTAGCTATATCATCGCATGATACTTTTAGTGCTTGTTGGATAAACAGTGATCAGTCTTTTAATGACATTAGATCACAACAATGTGAAAAGCCTTATGTTAACATCATTGAAATGAGTGTCAGCTAAGGCATGAGTACAACAATTCATGTCATAGAACTGATCCGCTAATTATTCGTTAAGCCACTACCCACCTAACGAAGCTGTAGCCCCTGCTCTCATGTGTGCGGTAGACAACATGCCTGTTCCCAGGCGAGTCTTGGCACGAGAGGCGGCGGACATGTCAATATCGCTACGGGAACGGGACAGCGGGATTCCAGCCGGCGTCTTGGCATCTCCTTTGTCTGAGAAAACAGGGAAGATCATTGTTATTAATATTATGACTTCTCAAAAAAAAGTTGTCATTTCTTGATGCAAGCTGTATATTACTAAAAGATAAGCAAAAAAGAGTAAAAAAATTCTCAATTTTTTGGATAAACCATTCTAATATATCAAAATTTCTTCATCTTTAGAGTTTATCATTGTTCCATGAAAAGAAAAAGACATAATCAGTATCATAACTTTTAAGTATTTGCAAATATCCTACTTACTTTTCTGGACACTATTAAACAAAGTTATGTTTATACCAGTTTTCACAATAGTTACTTTAAAATACAGGCAAGTCTTGACTGTGTGGTATTCCATGTACTTTACCTTTCTTAGGCAGCTTAGAGGGCGTTGTGCACGGGGCTGTATGTGTTCGTCGAGCGCTGTAAGGATCATGATACAATTAATTAATCAATCAATATTCAAAAGCTCACAAAAGTCTGAATTGGCTGTTTTGTTCTTACAACTTCAAAAAGGCACTTTAAATCACGTCAATAATTGGGTTCAATAAAACATATCATCCCTTTATACTTTCTTTGCTGAGCCAATTTTTTGACAGCAATACACAACATTCAGGGCAGTTCAAATGACAATGAAGGGTTATACAAAAAACAAAAAAAACTCAAACCACCAGTAAGTTTGTTAAAAAAACAACAACAGTCAGTTATGAATGCAGGGAAAAATAGGAGTATGATATCGCCATGATATTTGGGTTAAAATTATCACCAAAACCAATAATATAGAAATTATATATCTACAAGAATAAATCTAAATGAATTATGACATTAACAATAGATAAATTAACACTTCTGTGAACTACAAAAACTGCTTGCTTCACAGGGGTGATTATCATCATTAATTCACCATCAAACGCATTCAATGTATTATCAGTGCATGTTTGAGCATTATCAGAAATACACTGATGAAAGTTAGACATCCTGGTAATGAGATACACAAAGAAATTCTTACTCAAGCAACTGGATAGGTTTTGAAAACATTTCTAGTACCATTCACTACTTTTCGTGACTTTCGCGGGGAAAGCAGTGGATGCTACTTGAAATGTGCTGTCAGAAATGATGCAATCACCCCATGAAACAAGCACAACACTGTTTGCAGTCCACAGTAGTGTGGGCTGCTATAGACATCGTAAATAAAATGAACAGAAAGAAAAGAAAGAAAGAGGGGCAACCACCCACACAACACCAACCTTCCCGGTACAGACCTCACGTTTTCCGAGGAGGAGGCGCGGAGGCGCGTGGACTGCGTTGCCAGGCTGTCTGACGAGGAAGAGTGAGCAAGAGATCCCAGGAGAACTTTCTTCTGCGCAGGAGTCAGCAGTTTTAACAGGTTCTCACTCAGGTTGGGGTAGTGCTCCTTAAAGGCCCAGAAACATCTGGAGAAACAGTTTAAGTTAAGTTTCGCTCTTTAACTTGTGTCTATGCAGCTGCCATAAGGATAGAAACATTTAGGGTTGTGTTTGTTCTTAAATGTGGTTTGAAGCAGCTCAGGTAAGGGATAGTACTCCATAAGGGCCCAGAAATATCTGGACAAAAATTTAGGGTCATTTTCTGAGCTCTAATGTCTCAGTCTGAAATAAGGAAAATAGCTCCCCTGACAATGATACCAAACAAGCAACTAATAGAGTAAGTTTGAACAACTTGAAAGGAAGGTGCCTTGTCACGTAAACTAAGAACTTTTTGTATGTTCAAGAACCACCTGAAGTGCAAATAGTTTTGCTTCGTGACTTGTTTGTGCTTGCTGGGTTACTCAGCTGGCCACCTGCAAGAAGTATTCCCTAAATGAAGAGCATTCTCAAAAGGAAAGGAAGTAGAACAATTGAACAAAAGGCAATTGTCATGATTCACAGCAAATGTCCATGTCAAAAACAACATCAATTCTTCCTACATGTTTTCCTGGATAGGAATTTATGATGTTTGAATTAAAACTGCTATACTGTCATTGGTTCTTGTATGGCTCAAAGACAAATAAAAGGTCGTGGAATGACTTACTTTCTAGCGTCTACTCTGGCTTCAGAGTCGGCGTCTCCTATACCATTCTTGATCGTTTCTACTAGAGTTTGTGAGTGTCTGAAAAAAAGATCATCAGAAATTAATCAGACTATCATGTTATATACTCTAGCTACGTAGCTGAACTTAAAGCTGCTACTGCTAGAAAAAGAAATGTAGGCATATTCAGTATTTAAAGTTACTACAAAATAACAATGCTTGTTTTACTTGGATTTGCTCAGTACTTACTTTTCTAGAGTATTTGTCTCCCACGATCGTAACAACAGGTCTAGCAGTTCAAATGTTTTCCTACAAGGGAAGAACAAGAGAAACAGTTTAACAATGATAAAATAACTGCATAAGAGCTTTCATGTACAGAAAATTAATTTAAGAAATAGTGTAGTTTCTAACAAGAAAGACTGTGGCATTTCTACAGTAACTGCACTCTGATATAATCTAAATGCCACTGTTTAGTGGAACTTTGTAAACCTAATATATAATAATTATAAAATATCCCCCCATGATGACTGCATTATTGTCTCATGGAACGAATGCAGCTGTCACTGAAACAAAGAAAACTTTGTGTAAAATACTCTCAATGCAATATAATAAGTAAACATAGAAACTGTCACACACAAAATTCCAGGGACTTTTGATCAGGTACAGTGCACAACTTCAGGCTATCTCAGAATTCCAGACACTGTGAAGAAAGTACCCCTGGGACAGAGCAATTTCACATGAGACTAACCGTGTCATAGTTAACCTGTAGCTCTGAGATTAATACACCTGATACTGACAGACTAACACTCCCTGCAATGCTTTCGGAATAATAATCATCAAAGTACATGTATTTCACCTTGACATATTAACAGAAGTAACACACCTAAGTGTGCATGTAAAGCTATTGAATGAATGAATTCCATCTCCTTAGGTTTTACATATGTAAAAGCTGAACAAAATCAAAAGGTTTCACTACATACATGAGGGTACAAATTTCATTAGCTTGTTTTTCAACACTATTATTGAGTAAATATGTTGAGCTACATGTACATTGTATCCATTAACGGTAGGAAAAGATTAACAGTAGTATTGCTGAAATTGGAGCTGGTTTTCCTTTCATTTGAACTTTCCATGTTTTTGTACAGCTGGTATGACAATCCTTCACCGCAACAACAGAAAATGCTTTATGCTCAAAATAAATGTCTCCTACAAATACATAAACTGTATTTCTAGGACGAAAAAGGACAACCAAGCCTACAAAATTACAACAATAACAGCTTTTCTTTACAAGTGAACACGTAGATGTGATTACATTGAGTGTCTTGAAGCATGTTCAGGTAATGTGAGCCCCAATTACCTTCTTGAGAAGCAGACCGGAGACTGAGACACATTAAGACAGTCAACTGTGACTAGGAGTCCACAATGTCATGAATACTAATAAACAATCAATCTATCAATCTTCCACAAGCATCTTGTGCTGACGTATAGCAGCTGTAGACAGTTCAGAGGATAGCTGTATACATGTGTATAGTCAAAATATTCCTTCCAACTTGCCTTGCCTGTAACTAATCATAATCTTTTCACATTTATTCATAGATCAGACAAATGATCAATTGGCTCCAATTGCGGACCAATTTCTATAACTCAAAAATCATTCTACAGTAGTTTATGAGGGGTAAAGTAACACAAAACTAAGAGACTTTGACAAGTTCACAGTTTGAAAGACCACACACACTACTTGCTTCAAGTGAGGAATATTTGCCACCTATCTGCCAAAACCTGGGGTATTTCAAAGTTGGCAGATATGACACATGTCCCCATTATGCGAAGTGGTGTGATGGTCTGCAACATGCAAACTTGTCCATTTTCATTCTGAATCATATTTATTATACATAATTTTTTTAGAAGAGGAAGAAGTTGTACTAACCTTCTGATGGCAACAGACTTGGAGTTGTGATGACTAGTGATGATGGGGATCAGTCTATGGGCGTGGGTGTACTGGGGGATGAACAGGTTTAAAGAAATCTTTCAAACTTGGTACAACTTCTTTAATAAAACATATAAATATAATATCTTGAGTACAGGAATGACTAAAAAACTAGTGAAACTTATATTACATCTTAACAAGACCAACAAAAATGTGTAAACTGTCATTTCACAGGACTGCAATATTATCTATACGAATAACTTTGTATCAACCAAGGACATTATACACATCAACTAAGTAGCATGGGTGTCAAACTTAGCCAAAAATGTGTTGCTTCAACTTCAAACTTCAATGACAATAGATATTTTCATACTTCATACTTTCATTTTATGTTTGTTACACATTTTGTATTGTTATTTCAACCTGTATTTTCTATGTTTTATGGTCTTGAGCAAAGGATCATATAAGTAATTTGTGCTTGCTATCTAATGCTCATAAATCAATGATAGTGAAATAAAAATAATAACAGATAATTGTCTCACCTGTATAATAAACCTACAGGTGACAGCTCCTGCTGTAGCCATGATTTTTGCACTGTTGGGGATGAGGTTGAACAGGTTGGGCATCACCACTTCCGCAAAGTGGTCAAACTTACTTTGTAGCCTTTGTGCTAAATAACTGCAGTGGGGAGAACAAGGAAAATCGTAAGATAAAAAAAAAACGTTCTTTTGAGATCATAAGTAAGTCCAAGCTTTCAACTTCTTCGATTTCTACAGATATATACATTCAAATTGTATGTACATGTATCCATAATACATTACCTTGTATTACAGGACGCCTCACCTTAAAGTAATACAAGCTTCTCTAACAACTTGAGAGCGCAGGTCTCGCACGGCCAGCTTGAAAACTGGCTCCAACAGTTTCAGCTGCTGTAGAAAGTTGTCGTAATCCATGGCTCCGTGCACCAGCAACGATCGCAATTTCTTTATCTGCAACAAAACAAAAAAATCACCTCAGCAACAAGTTGAAATACAGACTCGTTTGGTATGTGAATGTAGTCTGAAAATTCTGAACTTTGCATGGAGTTTTTGAGTTTGCTTAATGATCTTACATTTTTGTAATTGTGAGCTCTTATTGCAAGTTCATTACACAGGAACCAACTTTGGACAGACAGGCAAAGCCATGCCCTCAGCAAACCAAAACAATACTCCCGAATCCAGAAGTAAAAATGCTGGCTACTAAGTACATTGTACCTTTACAGTACACTGAAATGCAAATAGCCTGCTTCTTTGAAATTGAATTCAGAGTGAAAATACACTTTAAGTTTTGAAGAAATTTTCAAGACATAATTATACAATGACTTACGGAGTCTACTCTCTGTTCCCAGTCACACTTGTCGTCTCCCAAAGTGTCCTTGATCTTCTGCATGTGATCCTCCAGATCTCTGGGCGAAAAAAGCTGCAGCAGCAGGGAAGAACATTACGTTAATCTTAATTAGTCATGATTTGTCTAGCAGGAAGAAGAACACAAGAAAGGAACTAATAAATTTTCAGTCGATCTTGTCCTGATGTCATCACGCTTCCAACTTCTGGAGTCAGCGAGTGGATCTGACAAAGGCTGACGAGATTCCCTTTGTTTGTTTTGGAACAAAGCTTGAACTCTACAACTAGCATTTACTTACTCAAATGAAAGCTCACGTCTTGGTAGAATCCATAGTTGTCAAGTTCAAGCTTTGTGCCAACACAAGAAGGAAACTCACCATAAATTTTTGGTCGATCTCATCAACCTTCATCAGATGTATGAAGCAATTACTGACTCTCCAGAAGTAGGAAGTGTGATGAACTCTACAACTAACAATTACTTACATTGATTTTGGGGACCTCTTCGAAGTACTTGATAAACATCTCCTCGTCCGCCCCGCCTGCACCTGCTGACGACGACGGAGCCAGCGGGGGCTTCATACCAGCTGACGCCGGCCGCCGAGGGGGGGCACTGGACACACGCTTCGCCCCCGACATTCTCGCTACCTGTTAGGGACCACAAGGGGAGTCTTGAGTGGTTTATTACAACACTGGCTACCTGTTAGCAACTGGAAAAGAAGTGTTGAGTGTTTTATTACAACTCTGGCTACCTGTTAGCAACTAGGAGAAGAGTCTTTAGTGGTTTCTTACAACTTGGCAGGCTACCATTAAGCCTCAGAATCAGAGTGCAAGCACATCTAACCCTTGGAAGACAGGGAACAACAGATGCTAAACTGGACAGTGAGTTTGAGTGAGTGAGTGTCTGGCAACCTGTTAGCAACCAAAAGAGGAGTCTTCAGTGTTTATTACAATTCTGGGTACATGTTAGCAACCAGAAGAGAAGTCTCCTTTCATTTATTCATTTATCAATATTAGGTAAATATGGGTAGTATATTTAGTGGAAATGGGGTGATCTCCAATGGATAAACAGAACACGTAGGAGGAAATATAACATAAAGTAGTTACAATGAAACATAGGAGTGATAAATCATACAAAACACTCATGTTATTATAACTAAACAATCATAATTTAACAACTCAAACCCATAACACTTTGTCCATCAACAGTCTTTAGGGATCTGAGGTCAGATGGGTTGTGTGATGCATACAAACAGCAACTGAAGTAAAACCTGAAGATGTCTAGAAAGGAGACAAGCTTAAGGATTTAGTCAGATCTTTCCTTTTATGCTAAAACCTAGAGGAAGTACAAGATCCACCTCCAGGGTTGGTCTGTGGTGACCAGAGCGAATTCTGACGACGTTGGGACTTGCCAGGTCGTCGGTAAAGCACAACGAGAGGTCCCCGTTGGCCAGAAGGGCTGCGTACGCCTTCCACAACATGTAGCGGTTTATGTACTCCAAGTACAGCGAATGACGCGGCATCTTGAGTGCTTTACAGTTGTTCTTTGTCGTATCAGTAGTAACTGAGTGGTCCTGCTGTTAATGCAAAGGGGGGAATCTGACAGTTGAAAGTTCGGATCCCTGAACCCAACACAGTTGGGACATAAAATCTAAAGGTGGAGAAAACCTGGAATCGATGTGCCCATTCCTGTCTCTTCATCTCAAGCTGAACCTACAACAGCAGATATTCACAACTGAAAGTAATGTAGGATTACATCCTCAAGAGCTATACACAGTTTCCAGGCAAAAGGATCTTCACAGATGTAAAAGACAGTTAACAGCATCCAGTGGACAGGAACGTGCAGACACACTCGGTCCTCACATTGACAGTCAATCGCTTCCTGAAGACAGCCATTCAAGAGACAATCCAAGCCAAGAAGGTCCATTAATGAAGTCTGCGAAGCCCACTTGCAAAGGAAGTCGTGTTAACAAGGCTGCCAAAAAGCTGGAAGCGTGATGATCACCATCCGAAAATGCTTCAAAGGCTGAGTTGAACGCCTGGCATCCACCAAAACCACTTTTACGTCCATCGTAGCATTGAGAACAGGACAAGCATACCGGTGATGACCATGGGTGAAGAACGGCAAAACGGAATCATTCGCTTTTCTCGGAAACTGTGTGTCCTCTGACAATCGTACCCTTTCACGTTGTACGGCAAGTTGGCAAAACGTCCCTTCTAATTAGGCTGTTGTTGTAGCTTCGGGGATTAATGTCCAATCCGACGTGTGATGTTCCATGTCGTGAGTAGGCACTTCACACGTACACTTAATGGCAGGCATTAACATCTGCGTCTACTGTAAGATCTTGTATGTCTGCATCAATGTTTTTGCATTTTCCTTCACTTTCTATTTAACATGTAATGTCTTTATAATTGTACATGATAATATGGCTCATTAACGATGTTTCTGAATGGACACACAAGATATTGTTGTAACAATTCTTTGAATATTTCACAATCGTCATACTGAAAGGAATTTTTGTTGGTCAACTACAACTAACTCATGTAAAAGTAGTCGTCACATGTCACATTTAGATCTGGCAAATAATCCTCCGAAATTGCCAAGTAGATTAAAATAGCGTTATCACAACAGCATTTTACTTTGTTCTGCAATGTACACCCCACAGTATTTCCTTATTACCTGATGAAGAAAAATTAGCACCTTTACGGTACGGGATCGCAACAGGGCAGTGGAGGTAATTAGCTGCTTGGAGAGTTCCCTTCCTCTGCTGGTGTTGTGGTGGCTAATGAACAGGTTCTTTACTACCTTGTTATGAATCACGTTTGATTGGCAGCAGAAGGCAGATCGATTTGACAAACTGTCGCTGTAATCATTTTGATACGCTCCCTGCATATCATCCTGCGTATGAGTGGGTCATTGACCGTCAGTGCCACCTCAGACGTATAAATTCAGACATTTCTCAGACGTTCACTTCAGTTGTGTGAATGACCAAGTGACAAGGCTAGTGGACACGAGATCAAGATTCTTGGCTACACCTTATGTCCTTGGGAAAGGCACATGCAATGATTTTCCTCACTCCACCTAGGTGTAAAATGGGTGCCTGACTTTGGTTGGTAGGTAAAAGGCCATGGAAGGAGAGGGATGGGCTCCACCTTCCAATACCATGCCCTTGACCCAGTGGATGAACAACCCACTGCCCCTACGGCCTACTAGAAAAGAGCTTTAGACGTGGAAACTTTGAGTTAAGAAATTAGTAAACTGAAGAACTGAAAGGTTTTCAACACTGACAACAGTCTGGTTAAGAAGGAACTTGAAATCAGGGTTCTGCAATAAGGTATCAAATTAATGGACCAGATGAAAACAAATCCAGTACAACAAACTGGACTATCAACCATCTGAACTGAAAACTGTTGAAGCAGGGTTCTCTCCAGCACTCAAGGTTTGTCTGTTCTCTCAGGTTTGACTTTGATAAAATTTGATTTTTTGTCTGTCAGTGGGTAGCCTCCACCAGGCCTTCCTGAGGAGTAATATAGACTACAATTTGGCAAAAATGCAGTAAATAACTGACCAGAAGAGTGAGGTTGTGGCCAATGATACCCTATGGGGGCCAAACTCGCCTGAAAAATTCTTTTCCCTCTTTGGCTAAATTTGACTATTTTTCAGCCAGCATACATTGTAGTTAGGGAATGGAATGGTTTGTTTTGCTGTCCAAAGCAGGAAAATTCCATTCTGGGATGGAAGGAGGGATTGTTGCTAGAGAGAGCCCTGTTTGGGTGAAACCACTGCCTACCATCATGTAGGGGAGATCATACATGTGTCTGCTCCAGTAGATAAAGGGTCTGTTCTGGGGTGGGGTAGGGAAAGGCGATGAAGGTTAGACATCCAGGTATAACATTACAAGTCTACTAGGCACTTCAAAGAACTCAAGCAACTGAATAAATTGTCTTAAGCGTCAGACGTTTCAGATATCTGCTTATCTTTCATCAGTACCAAAGGCTTTGCTTACAGCTAGCCATCTGTAATGTGTATTGTGGAATGTGTATTGCAGGGAATACGGGGATAGGTCCATATTCCTCTTTGATCAATGGCAAAGAACAAGGGATCTGCATCTAAAATGAAGGGATTGTCTACCAGTATTCTATTGAGTCAAGGTGGGAAAATAAAATGAACTCACAGAGAACAAAAGACCTAAGTGTGTGACTGACAGATGAATAAGGTAAGGTGTTAAAACAATTCATTATCACCTGTGTGGTGATGAACTGTTTTATTTGCACCTTTTGAAACAGTTCTCTATACAAAAGAAAAGAAAATCACTTGGTTCATTCTATGCTGGAACAATGTATTCACGTGGAAAGAAAGCATCCATATTGTTATGGACATTTTTTCATAGGATGCACATTTGTGAACAGGTACAAAGGTTTCTTTCTTGTGGAATTGTTCACACACTGGAATGAACAACACTAGAGGATCAAATACAAGATCGCTTACAGCATCCCTTTGAGGTTCACTGGAAGTAATATATTCCAGGAAGAGCCAGGATTACATTTGTATTCCAGGAAAAAAGCTGATTCATTCCAGGAAGCATTAATACATTCCAGGAAGAACCAGCAATATTCCAGGAACAATGCTGATTCATTCCAGAAAGAACCAGGAATATTCCAGGAAGCATTAATGCATTGAAGAAAGAACCAGGGATATTTTAGGAAGCATTGATGCTTTTCGGGAAGGACCAGGAATATTCCAGGAATAATGTTGAGAGTAACCCACCTTGGCAGAGTCTGTCTCATCCCCGTCACCAGAACTGCTGGACCGGAGGGACGCTGCAGAAAATAACAACAGACAGACACCTGGTTAGAGAACGGAAAACTACACATGATGCACTGGAACAAAAATGACATGTAAAAAAAATCAATGTACAATCAAATGTTACTAGATGCTCTGTTACCTACATCGATGTATATGCATGAAATGAAGTGGTACAACAATAACCAGCCTGTAAACAACATGTGGAAGCTGGGTTGTGCTGCATTTATCATGTCAAGCAGTAGAACACATTGCAATTACATGTACGATTTATGTGTTCGCATTAATGATTTGCATGCCGGAATATTAGCAATGGAACTCTTCAGGTTTACTCACAAAATATGTAATAATAGTGTAATCTTATTTAGGCACGGTACTACCGGTAGCTATTAGAAGTATGAAGGACTACCAAGGAGTGTTAGTACCAGCTTGCATTTGGTATTCACCAAGTGTATCTAAGAGATTTTCGTGGTATCATCATACCAGTATACAACCCTGGTATGGCACATAGCAATGAGAGGTCAGTGACTTATTGGCATATTTATGAGAGGGTAGTAAAGTATGTAGGTCAGTGGAGATGCATTGACAGACTACACAGCATGGGGATGTCCTTGGAATACTGAGCATAGCAGCAACACACACTCTGGAATAGCTGTTTGTAATGTGAATTAGCTAAGGAGTGGCTCTTAACATGTATTTAAAATTGCAAAGCAAGATCCAGCTACATGTATGCATACAAATGTAATTCGCCTAAGAAATTGTAAGTATAAGACTACTACTAAAGATACAGTACATACATGGGCATGGTTCTGAACCACCTTGTCAAAATCCCAGTAACACCTTGTAAATTTTCAGGTAATTTTGCTTAAATTCACCAACATTTGCCACCTTTTGACTGCATTTCACCCACTTCAACCTATAGTTCTATACCCTTTTAAATTTCCGACTCAAGAGCTATGGATTGAAATACTAATGTACATGTACATAAATATACTATACAATCTTCCATCTGTCCCAAACAGCTATTGCTGAGGGTACATGTAAGCTAAAGCAAAACACCCACCTTATAATATGAAGAAAGTCTGATCCCAACTTGCTAGTTATAAACTGCCATCTAAGGGTGTTCGCAAACGTCCCTCAGAAGAAAGCAAAGTGTATTCCTACTGCTGCATTATCTAACAAAACCCACTCCAGACCATGATATAAATGTACGTTTTCTGCCCTAAACAGATAGACTATGTGCTGTAATTCCAGGGAGGTTATTAGTGAGTCTCTTCAAGGGTTTTCCAGGGTTCTTATAAATAAAAATTCTCTCAAAGTTGTATAATGTTTGGAACTACTGACTTCACATATCTTACAAAAATGCATCACAGAAAATAGACTAGAGAATGATTTTTGCATTAGTGGAAAGTATTATATATCTTAAATGCACATGTGCATCATTATTTGTACACAATCTGGTACTCTAAAACCCCTTTGTTGTCCTCTGTCTTTTGGTTGAATAATTCATAGTACATTCAGGCCCTTTCTGCCATTTTTATGGGTAATTCAATTTCTGGCCTAGTCAGACTGCATAGCCCTGAATTTTCAAGTCCTCATAAATTTGCATAAGGGACAATTCAGGAAGAATCCTGCCAAGGGGATTACTGTTTATGGCCATACGAATTTGATTTCTTGGTTCTTTATCCATATTCTGATCTATGAAATACTTTAGTATGATACGAATAAACGTTTATTTATGACTCGACAATAGATACTAAAAACAGGACACACCTGTGGAGAGGATGATGGAAAAAAAAACTGGTCTTCAAAATCTGAGTACATTCACTCACTATCCAGTTTAACACAGGGAGGGCTTTCACCAGCACCAATTTTTCCATCAATTGCAGGAACTTTACGTCAACCTTGACAGACACAATTGACAAAAATCTTGAGTAAAAATATGAAAACACCCAAAGGACAACCAAAAAACACTCTTAACCACATTATTTTTTTCTCAGAAAGTGGGAGATACTGATTTTAGAGGCTTCACAATCGAAAATTTGTCTCCAGACCCCGACTAGTTTGGGAGCCCTTTCCCCAAGGTCCAATCATATGAACCTGGGCTGACAGCAAAAATTTTGAGCTGGCAACAGCCCTGGTTTAACATGAGATTCTGTTGTTCCCCTTCAACAGGGATTCGAACCCTTGACCTTCATCCTATGCAAGCTACAAGTAGTATAACGGAAAGTCTCTCTGATGAGCTAGGTGATAGAAAGGACAACCCAGATTTGAGGACGGCCATAAATTCTGCGTGCCTATGGAGGTGAATCTTCCTTTAGTAATAGCTCTGGGCGCTGCATCAGCACTTTCTGTTCCCATCAAACGTTACATCTGGGCGCACTTTACTGCAGAATGATGCTCCCTGCAGCAGTGGTGGCTGCACATGTGCGGGGGAGCGTCAGGTAACATTTGGGGGATGGTGTATGGGTATACATGTGTGTGTGTGTGTGTGTGTGTGTGTGTGTGTGTGTGTGTGTGTGTGTGTGTGTGTGTGTGTGTGTGTGTGTGTGTGTAATGTGTGTGTGTGTGTGTGTGTGTGTGAGCGTGTGTGTGTGTGCTTTTCTTCACATTATAATAATACATGTATGAAGTGCATCAATTATTGCATATATACAGGGGAGTGTAATGCATATCATATTTAATATTCTCTTTGGCTCCTACACCTACATTGTAGGCATCATAACATTATATGAGGTATGATTCAACATGGATACATTCATGTATATATGCTGTACATCACTTTTATTCCTTATCAAAATGCCTTTGACTTGAATGCCCCATACATTGTTGCTTCTTACCACTTCCGCCATGGTATATGATTGATTATACATGATGTCTAGACAAATCTTTATGGCAAACCCATGTGGCGTTAGAACGTTATTGCGTGTGGATGGAGCGGTGATTTCATTACGATAAGAAAGACCAGGATGCTGTCCTGTCCCTGGGGACCTACTGACATCACAGATGACTCATCATACACAGAATTACCTCACCATTTACCTGTTGAAAAGTGTAGTATGTGATGTCACTACCCTTGTTTTTTCAAAATTGACATTGTAACATCATTAAGACGGTGACTCATCAGTTATACCTAGAACTTATCTCTTAACTTCCTGTTTGCATCATATGAAAAACTCATTGCCCATTCAAAAATATCTGACATCATTGTCAAAGTTATCTTTTTTGCTTGATCAATTAAGATACTAAGAACTTTGGGTGAGTCTGTAATTCATAAATCTTAATTTGTACAAGGATTATTAATTAGAAGATTTCAAATTGAAGATATTTTTAGACACTCTGCACCTTGCTCCTGAGTACACAATATGTCAAGTTTAATTCCTTTTGTATACTTCTGTTCATAGCCTCTTCTACGTATTAAACAATCCATTAAAATGTGAAAGGGAATTCATCTCTGCTACCCAATAACAACAGTGAATATTACATTTCTACATTCGATAAGTCTGGCCTCAATACATTTATATTTGGGTCAATGGACTGTTAAAACAGCATCAAGTTGTTCTGGCACAGATATTATCAAATTAATCAAACAGTTGATTCTATAATTTACTTGCAAGTCTGATGTTTTATAGCTTAATGGCTTCAAAGGAAGAACATGAAAGAATGTTTATCCTCCTCAACATTGCCTGTGCCTATTGTCAAATTTTAAGCCAGAAGCTACTCAACTAATAAGATCAATATTTAATTCTTTACGATCTTAATTTTACCCAAATACCATAACTTTGTTTTAGCTCCTGTCTAGTTCACAGAATTTTATCCCATAACTGAATTGCTTTCACAATTTGTCAAAGGCCCAACCTTGAAGAAAAAATCTTCACGACTTCCCCCTCAACTGAATGGAATAGCCTGATGCTGAGAGCCAACAGTAAGAATTTGACCCATGACCTTTTACAACAATAGGGGTTGGACACTGACAAATATGTTGGCCCTGCCTCAATATACTGTAAATTTTGACATTTTCTTCATGTCTTTAAATTTGTGGTTTTCTCACTGCAAACTCCTCAAAAATTAATATATAGTACATGTTCAATGTATTTACTTTACAGGGTTATTACCATGGTTGTTTCAACTGCGAACTCAAAAAAGTCACGACATTGCAAACAACTGACTTAAAATTGCTGTGAAAATCTGTTAATATATATCTGCTGCAAACTGAAAGAATTTTAGAGTACAATCCACAGTACACAACACATTGGCCCTTGGCAAGAAAACAGAAACACGATGTATCAAGATTGTGCCAAATGACCCTGAACACCCACGGCAACTTCTTAAAAAAGATCACTGTCACCGTTATTTGTCTCAATGGCCGCCGGTTGAATGCTGAGAAAATGGACTGAGACATCTTGATAAAATGTTTGTCCTGCGCGCGTGAATTACGCCGTCAGCACACATCCAGGGCAGGGTAAATCTTGTTTTTAACGGCAGTTCAGTTGTACTGATGCATTAATCACACAGTGCTGGTGAGAATGTCTCAGTTGTTGGGCAGATACCAGGATGCATTCTCCTGCCTTCTTCTACATAACCAAGGGAAACTACAGACATCTACCTACAATCTGTCAGAACAAAGAAAGAAGCTAAACACAGCAGAAAGTACAGAAGAATTTTGTCACAGTCTGACAGCTTTCTCTAAGCATTAGTTTAATGTCTATCTTTAAAACATTTTTCTTTTTATGACTCTAAGACTCTGAAATGAGAGTGCACCTTTCGAACAGTTCATGTTGACTTCCGAGGTCTAGTTGTGTGTGCGTAAACTTTGCTGTAACTAAATAAGACTTGGCATCTGTATATTTGTTGTGCCCTTTCAAGTATTGGATGCTACATTTACCGCACTTAAGTCAAGAGTAGCAACAGAAGAATTTACGGCTCTCGTTTCAACTTTGGACAAGCAGTTACAGAAGACTATATACTTTGCACAAAGTGTGAGAGAGCTTCAGCTCAAAGGTACAAAATGAATCCT